TGCACAGAGCACGCTGTGATAGCTCACGCCGCGATGTTCCAGTGTAAAGAGGCATGGCTAAAGCAAAATCGCAGTATTTTCCTGCTCAAGCGAGCATTAAGGCAGCGCTCAATCCCTGTTCACGTACAGCACTGGTCACATGATTCTCTCTACACTGGGTCTTCATTAGATAATGTACAAATGCAAAATTACAAGGTTACAATCATTAGAAATTGCTAGATTGCCTTGAAATACCACCTGAATGGAAACGCGACTAAATGTGTTACTTTTATGAGCCCCAATTCTACTCCAGCTCAGAACCATTGCAACTTTGTGCAGAACCACTCTATGCAGAATCACAATTGAAAATGTTTCCTCATACAATTATATTGGCATCTGGCTGGATTCCCATCTCATACTCAAACCTCGGGGAATTAATTATTGAACATTGATTCACGTCTGTACAGCATTTCCGATTACTCATGTGACAGTTGTCACTGCTTTGATTTCTATTTGGTTCCATTGCTGAACTTTATTGTATTTTTGACTTAAAGCTTTCGTGACTGCAGGGATTCATTCTTGGTTCTTTCGGTAAAGTCACGTAGAAGGAAAACAATAAAATAATAAAAATATAAAACAATACAATTCTCATGACGTTTCGACTTCAACACAAGCAATCAGCATCAGGTGTGAAAACCACAGCAAGAAAATTTGAAAAAAGTGTAGTTTTTTTTTTAAACGTTAGCACCACGGAGAGCGATTTGACAGTTATTCAGATGGACGAGTCCATCTATGTTCGGAAAGGAGGAGGGGGGAAACTAAAATAATGGATGCGGTCTGAAAGCCACCGTAAGTGTGAACAATCAATTAAGACCCGAAATGGTCTATCAAATCCTTCCAATGATTGCTCAGCCAGAATCCATCTTCTCGGTTGAAATTGTCTCTGTGTTTATATATGTGGATAGCTTCATGAACGAATCTCTCATGGTAGCCAGATGGCTTGCAAAGAACCTCTGTCTTGGAGAAGTCAATGTCATGTGAGCCTACTGAATTATAACAGTGATCTGCCACGGCCGAGGTGTTGGTCCTACCGTGTTTTAGATCTGCTTTGTGTTCACGAATGCGGTCCGAGACATGTCGTTTGGTTTCTCCATTGTAACTACTACCACAGAGGCAACTTAGTTTGTAGACGCCAGGGTACTGTATGTCCGGAATCACATCTTTTACAGACGGAACCAGATCACGGATTTTATGTAATGTGTTGAATCGGACCTGGATCTTGTGTTTATTCAAGATTTTGGAGATCTTTTTTGTGATCCCTGCAATGTAGGGTAAAGTGATGGTTTTGAAAGGCTCCTCAAGAGGGTCCTTCTTCATGGTTGGAGTGATAGCTTTGCGGATTGTGTAGTCGGAGTAACCATTAGCCTTAAGAGTTAGGTGTACGTGCTTGAGTTCACTGGCTATGTGTTCCTGGTCGAATATGCATTGGGCTCTATGGTGCAGAGTCTTGATGAGGGAATTCTTCTGGGATGGATGGTGGTAGGAATCCGGTTTCAGATAAGCATCCGTATGGGTAGCTTTCCTGTAGACAGAATGACTCATTGAACCATCAGGTCTCTTTTTTATTAGGACATCCAAAAAATCTAGCTTGCCATCTTTTTTGACTTCCATGGTAAATCTGATGGCTGGGTGTATGGAGTTGATGTGGTCGAGGAATTGGTCTAGAGCAGGCAGGCCATGTGGCCAGATGACAAAAGTGTCATCCACGTACCTCTTCCATAAGGTTGGGCGTCAGTCTCAAATTTCTCCATGAAAATGTTGGCTACAACCGGAGATAGGGGGGAGCCCATTGGGGTGCCCTCAGTTTGCTTGTAGAAAGTTCCATTCCAAGTGAAGTATGTATTGGTTAAACAGTGTCTCACCAGGGGGGGTACCTCAGTGTTTAGTCCTTGATGAACCAAGTCTTCAATGATTGCGATGGTGTCAGGTATAGGAACTTTGGTGAATAAGGAAACTACATCAAAACTGACAAGCAGGTCGTCTGGGGACAGGGAAATAACCGTGATTGTCGATACCACGTGAGTAGAATTTTGTACCGCAGAGGTGTTTTTTCCAGTGAAGGGCCGCAGGATTTCAGACAGCAAACGAGCCAGTTTGTAGGTGGGGGAGTTGATAGTAGAGACGATGGGACGAAGAGGTGTATCTACTTTATGTATTTTTGGTAAGCCGTATAATCTTGGTGGCCTAGCAGCAGAACATTTCAACGAGAACTGTTTGGTTTGCTAAATTAATGCGGTTGAATCAGAAATGATTTTGTTGGTTTGTATGACGAGGCTGTTGGTGGGATTTATTTTTATTTTTATATAGCTGCCATCGTTGAGTAATTCTTGAATTTTGTTGTTATATTCTATTTTATCCATGATGACAGTGGTATTGCCCTTGTCGGCTGAGAGGATAACAATGTCATCCCTCTTTTTTAATTTATATAATTAAAAACGCTTATCTTTGCTGAGGTTGTTAGCTGGCATCTTAGCGTTTTTGAGGGTTGCAGCGATTTCAGATCCTGCTACGTCTGCAGCGATGTGACCCAGGCCCTTGAGAGCCACGTCTACTTGGGCAATGATGTCATTAACTGGTATGTGTTTAGGTGTGACTGCAAAGTTTAGCACGTACACCAAGCTCTTAAGGCTAATGGTTACTCCGACTACACAATCCGCAAAGCTACCACTCCAACCATGAAGAAGGACCCTCTTGAGGAGCCTTTCAAAACCATCACTTTACCCTACATTGCGGGGATCACAACAAAGATCTCCAAAATCTTGAATAAACACAAGATCCAGGTCCGATTCAACACATTACATAAAATCCGTGATCTGGTTCCGTCTGTAAAAGATGTGATTCCGGACATACAGTACTCTGGCGTCTACAAACTAAGTTGCCTCTGTGGTAGTAGTTACATTGGAGAAACCAAACGACATGTCTCGGACCGCATTCGTGAACACAAAGCAGATCTAAAACACGGTAGGACCAACACCTCGGCCGTGGCAGATCACTGTTATAATTCAGTAGGCTCACATGACATTGACTTCTCCAAGACAGAGGTTCTTTGCAAGCCATCTGGCTACCATGAGAGGTTCGTTCATGAGGCTATCCACATATACAAACACAGAGACAATTTCAACCGAGAAGATGGATTCTGGCTTAGCAATCATTGGAAGGGTTTGCTAAACCATTTCGGGTCTTCATTGATTGTTCACGCTTACGGTGGCTTTCAGACCGCATCCATTATTTTCGTCTCCCTCCTCTTTTCCGAACATAGATGGACTCGTCCATCTGAATAAATGCCAAATCGCTCTCCGTGGTGCTAACGTTTAAAAAGAAACCCGCCACTTTTTCAAATATTTTTGCTGTGGTTTTCACACCTGAGGATGATTGCTTGTGTTGCAGTCGAAACGTCGTGAGAATTGTATTGTTTTATATTTTTATTATTTTATTGTTTTCCTTCTACGTGACTTTACCGAAAGAACCAAGAATATTTATTGTATTTGTTTTGTTTTATGCATTCTGGTGACACAGGTCACTCTTGCAAATGAGATTATCTGGTCTGTCTAGTTATCGTCCTATTAAACAGATGCACTTGAAACTTCGGAGGTGTAAATTCCACGTCCCTATGTCGGGGACAGGTTTCTCCAAAGGAAAACCATCAATTATTAAATGAAAACTCATCTTATCGATCCCGGAGGGAGTGATCGGCTGGGTCAACCATGGCAGACGGTATAGCATGGTGACCAAGGTTAAAGTGCTGATGTCTACTGTTGATGTGGTTTCTTTCCACAAGGGGGCAGCATCGCTCTGTTAGGCCGAGGTGAAACGCTTAAAATTCCCAGCACCTTAACACAACCAAGTAGCCTTAGTTAATGACTGAAATAGAGACAACCATGAGCTTCTTAAAATTCAAAGTGCTGTACATGTGCAAATGTCTGGAGCAAATGCACACTTCATATTTTTGGTGAAATTAATTCGGCCCAGGACTCTCCTGCCTCAATTGACTTTTATTAGAATCATATTATCGTCTGCTTTTCTTGTTCTAGGCAAGCCAAAGCCGCTTTCACCAGCAGCAGTGTGGAGCTGGTACGGCCCTGAGACCAACGTGAAGTCCAGCCAGGGGACACTGTTTGACATCGCGTGCGATTGACAACTCAACCAGGTCGACTCATCACTATTAATCCCGCGATGACAGTCCAAACACCGTTCAGGAAAGATGACACATTCCTCTGCCATGAAGAAGGCCCATCACCCGAAACGTCGCCAATTGTTTCCTCTTAAGGCCACTCCGGTATCAACGGAGGTGTTGAGTCAGTGTGTGTTAGGGGCCGTCCATAAATGACGTCACGCACCTGGGGTGGGGGGGGTCAGACATTTGTGACGATGTGTGACGAGTTGGGGGGGGTTAAGAAATGTGACGTCACATCAAAATACGCAACTTTAGATATAGACAACACTTTCTACTTAAATAAATTTCCTTTTAATGTTTTCTCCTACATCAGAGTGCAGCGTCACATTAAATACGCACTATAATGACAATAGTTTAAAGCGATTTGAAGCATGTTTTGAAATATGGTTTTTGGGGAGGGGGCAGAGCTTCGTGACGTCATATTTGAGGGGGGGGTCTGACTTTTTATGACGCCGTGTGACGACGGGGGGGGGGTCAAAAATCGTCCAAAATCGCGTGACGTCATTTATGGACGGCCCCTATCGGTCGCGAAAGCCTCCGTGTTTATGCTCGTTACACCACGTGCCCACGAAACCCCCCCCCCCCACACCTCCCCGCATCGCACAAAACAGACGACTGCCTGTGTTGCGATCGAAACGTCGTGACCTATTAATTTCTATTTCCGTGACTTGACCGAACGACCCAAAGCGTTGGCGACCATTGTCGCCGCTGCGACACAACCACGCGGTTAGGCGAACGGGGCCGCCCGTCGTCGCCGTGCCAACGCAACGCGCTTCCGGTTTACACGGGAAGTGACGTCACGCCGCCCTACCCCCCCACCCGCCTTACCACCCCTTAGTCGCCGGCTGCTCTGTGACCAACGCGCGCTGCCCTCAAAACCTTTGCCTCTTCGCCCGGGTTCGAACTCGGCCGTTCGTGGCGCCGCCCGTTGGCTTCTTTGACGAAGCCAAAGATGTCAATGCTCGCCGAGCGTAAGTCGGGTGTGGGTGGGTGGGGGTGGGGGTCGGCGTTTGTCGTGGTGGCAAGCGAGTGCAAGCGAGTGCACGTGCTCGCAGCGCCCCCCCCCTAAAAAAAAAAGAAAGCCTCGGCTGGGCCCGCGTTGCTGGAGGCCACGGACGGTGGGTCAGATCGGTGGTAGTTGCCGCGTTGGTGGAGGTGGGAGTGAGTACCCACATTTGTGCCACCACCGCACGCCGCATATGCCCCATTTATACTGCTTGGTGAAGGAGGGGGGGGGCGGTGTGGCACGCGAGACTTGAGACAACTTTCCAATTACATTTTGATTTAAAGCTTTCGTGACTGAGGGGATTCATATTCTTGGTTCTTTCGGTAAAGTTACGTTGAAGAGAAACAATAAAATAATAAAAATATAATATTAAACTATATATTTTTATTATTATTTTATTGTTTCCCTTCTACGTGACTTTACCGAAAGAACCAAGACTATGACTTTCCTGTTGCTTGAACTGTCGGACCGGCGACCTCTGGATTGCAAGTGCTGTGTGCTAACCGTTAAAACTCAACTTTTATTTTACCAGGTAAGGCCCACTGAGCTATACAGCTCTTTTTCAGAAGCGACGTGGCCACAAATAATAGCTCAACGAAGTGGCTTAGGGGCCGTCCATAAATGACGTCACGCACCTGGAGGGGGGGTTGAGAAATGCTCAACTTTAAATAAATATAGACAACATGTTCTACTTAATTAAATACACTTTTTTTAAAAAAATTCCTACATCAGAGTGCAGCGCCACATTAAATACGCACTACAATGACAATAGTTTAAAGCGATTTGAAGCATGTTTTATTTTCAAAATGGAAATATGAGGGTCTGACTTTTTGTGACGCCTGTGACGAAGGGGGGGGGGGTCTAAAATCATCCAAAATTGCGTGACGTCATTTATGGACGGTCCCTGATGTGGAAATGTATAGCAGCCAAATACTCTAAACGCATGTTTTTTTTTATGTGTGGAGGGAAAAACTGGAGGACCCAGAGAAAAATCCACGCTTCCACGAGGAGAGAGACACCGCAAACTCCAACTATACATCAGACGTCAGGGTCGGGATCGAACCCATGACCTGTATACCAGGCGACGTAGCTAATATCTCACCACCGCGGCACCGTTACAGCAAGGGGGCATCGGTCATATGGTGGAAGTACTTTCCCGACAATGGGAAGGTGGAATGTTTTACCGCTGACTCCGGGATGCAGAGAAAGAGATGGAGCTGCTACCAGCTCAGCATGCTGACCTCTGAACCAGCTGGCCCCCTCCAGTGGCACACATTTAAATGCCCTGTAAAGAGTGTTAATTTCTGGGTTTTACTCCTTAATGCTGCAAATTAAAAAAAGGGAGGGGTGTTGCATTGCTGTGCGAGAGTTCCGAATGGATTCATTGTCTCGTGACATGATGCCAGTAGCACAACCGGAATAAATCGATTATTGAATTGAATGAGCAGCCTGCATTGCAAAAAATCTAATCACTAGGTCCGGGTGAGGGTGTGACATGTAACACCATGCCTACTGGTTTTGAGCTTACCCACTATGGAATTGTTATTTCCACACCTTACTCATTCGTGTCTCGGGCCACAGCATTGAGCTAGAGCAGAGTCATTGGCGTTTGTAATCGTTGTCGTCATTGTACCTGTGCAGCACGCAGGAAGCAGAAGTGGTCGGTGGACCCCAGGAACTCCGCGTGGGTCAATGACAACAGCAAGTTCGGGCAGAAGATGCTGGAGAAGATGGGATGGAGTTCAGGCAAGGCAAGTGGGGTTTTGTGGGCTGGAAGGGGCACGGAGGCTCAGGGGTACCTTGGTGGTGAGATGAATACTACATGTCCTGGTATACAGGGGGGGGTCATGGGTCCGATCTCGCCGCCGACACCTGTATATTTGGAGTTTGCATGATCTCCCAGTGGTCGTGTGGATTTTTTTTCGGGTCCTCCGATTTTTCTGTCCACATTTATGTAATAAGTGAATCTACCTTTTATCGGTTCGATTACTGGACTAATCGGTGAACACGACAGGAAATAAAAAGTCTCGCCTCTGTTCCTGTGTGTGCCGCTAATCGGGAGGTTAGGCTTGATGAAGCCTTTGTTATCATTATTATTAAAGGGGCCCGACTAATTGACCACGAAAAAAGTAGTGGATTAAAAAAATTAGCCAAATAATAAACTATTTCAGAAATTGTCCCAGCTACAGTTACTTACGAACTTCCTCCAGTGCGTTGTGGTTGTGCGCTTTTGCTTTTATGTCAGCAGATGGCGCTGATGTCACTTGGTAGTGGAAGACCAGTTGCTCAGTGTTGTGTCTCTGTCTCTCATTGATGTTCATGAAGGGCCTTGGGGCAAATGAGCAAGGTTCCACCAACCACATCAAAGTGAACGTGAAGAACAACAACCTAGGGGTGGGAGCCGCCGTTAACCAAGAGGTGGGTGGGAACACAAGAGGTAACCAGACAACTCGGTAGTGCTAGTGCCATGTCATCACCAGCATGATCCATCCACTGCTAGATGAAGGCCTGCCTAAAGTGTTGCCATCTCAAACGGTCTCGTGATACAGCAATCCATCTAGCCGCTCGGAAGACGTCCACTTGGGCACGTTCCCTCCTTTGTCACTCCGTCGTTCGTATTGACCCCCGCCATCATCCCTTGCAACGACATCTCTTGGCCAACCCCAATTTTCTTAACAGTCGCTACGATGCCTCTAACTTGCGTATATTCTAATGCACCAGTTCCTCTTCCTGTCTCGGTGGAATTCCTATTTTTGTTTGCTCATTAGCATGGGCATCAAATGCATAATCGTTGTGATCATCACTATCATCACCGTCATTTTTAACATCATGAATATATTGTCATTAATAATCAGCGACGTCATCAACATCGCTTTGAAAGTCATTGGTACAGTCACTGTCATAATATTCATCATCAGGGTCACCAACATGAACATTGCCATCATTGTCATCCTGATTATGCATTATACTGTCCTCTCCAGTCTTGATCATGATCATCATCATCCATGATCAGTCCAATGCTGAATGAAGGCCTCCCCAAGCCATCATCTCTCATGGCCCTGTGATATCACAATCTAGTGCCTACACACAAGCTGATTTCATCACTCTATCTCTGTAGTGGACGTACTTGGGCTACCACATCCAACTGTCTATGCGGTTAAAAGGGAGGTGGTGTCTGTGTCCATGCTTTTGCAGGACAAGTGGATCGCGCACCAGGACGACTTCAATCAGCTTCTGGCCGATCTCAATGACCAGCACGGGCAGCAAGGTAAAGTTGCATCACCAAGTCGCCTGCTCCACCCCTAACACTCACTTCCTGGGGGAAGTGCTGTCACCATGAGAAATTAAAGGCCTCCAAAAACTAAAAATGTCATACATTGAAATCGGAATGATGGGCGAGCAGTTTGTGGGTGGAGCACATTTGCTAAATAGTTACTAACCCTAACTAACCATTGAGCCAAACATTCACTCCCGCGAAAGAAGTTCAACATTTATACAATTAGCCCTAGTCCTGACAAACTAGCTACCCAAACACTTATACTAGCTGTACTCCCTCGCCTTAATCAACTAACCAACCGGCGATTACTACTCACCCTCCTAATCCTAACTAACTAACTCGCCAAACAGCCACTACTACTAGCCACCCCAATGTCCCTATCCTTACCCCTAAGCAGTCACAAATATCCTATTTTTGCCCATAACTAGCCACAAATACGAACCCTATAGTATTTCATCAAGCTCCCTTTTCACTTTCGTGTTCGCTTTTCATCTTTGGTGTCCAATGCGTCTTGTGATGTGGTGCTGCCTCCTGAGCATTGACCTGGCAGATTTGTCGGTGATGGAGATGTTGGAACTCTTTCGCAAAAGGAGCAATTGTCAAACATCCTAATTTGACCCATCATGACTTAAAGCTTTTGCGACTGCAGGAATTCATATTCTTGGGTCTTTCGGTAAAGTCACGTAGATAGGTTCAAAGAAAATAACAAAAAGACGACCGCTTGCGTTGCGATCGAAACGTCATAGTTTTTTTGTTATTTTTTGTTATTTTTGTTGAACATACCTACGTGACTTTACCGAAAGGCCCCAGAATATTTGACCCATCATACTATATGATTTTCAAATACGTTTTGCTGCCTGGCTGGCGTGCGGGCAAGATGGTCATGTTACCGTGCACATTTTTGCGAGATGACATCACCCATGTCTCGCAGCGTTAAGCCATTCGTGTTGTCCCGCTGACGTCCGCCGCCCCCCCCCCCACCCACCGTCCGCCCCTGATGTATATCCCGAGCAAATGCGTGGACAGTGCTAGTTATCCTTTAAAACAAATTGAAAGGCAGCTGGGCAGTTCAGGTGCTAATACTGTGTCAGAGGCACTGAGCAAGCAGCTTTGAGATCCTGGTTTCGAATCCGTGTATCAAATGCCCGTGATTCAACCAGGTTCTCAAGTGTAGTTCGTTAATGTTGGCTGTGGCTGGGAATCAAACTCTTGATCGTTGGATCTGTAGCGCAGTACACTAACCACTGCCCCGTCGCTCAACCTGTCATGTCCCCAAGTGGAGAGATTTCCTTTCGGAACGATTGCAGCGAGCTGTGCATCACCTCCTGTAAGGGAGCAGCTTCAGACTATGACATTGTATATCTACTTCTGAGGTTACGTCACCAAAGCTCTTGTCCGCACAAGGTGGTGCACTCTGTTACCACACATGCCCTGCAAAAGAAGCGCTCGCCCCCACGTCAATCACGCAGAGCTTTTCTGCGAGACGCGGATCGTACGCGCTGCGAGCAAGCCCACTTATTGAGTAAGCGGACTTAGTTTTGTCACGAAAACAATTACGCAACCTTTATTATTATTTTTCTTACCACGTTATATTTTTGTTTTGCTCATATTAACCAGCTTGTGAAGCCACGTTTGGGCACAGCCATTAACGGGCATTTTTTTCCCTCCACCGTCCATTGTATGCGGTGCCCCCACAAACCACGCGGCACGGCCACCGATTGTTGCGGGACCGAGCTAGCCTTCGCCCGGCTGCACAATGGCCCATTGTGTCACAGCCATTAAATTGAGCCACGTCTCGGGAACGTGTTTCATTTCAGAGGCCACGGAACAAGTGCAGAAAGCCGCCTTCAGCCTGGAGGAGAAGTCAAAGCGATCCCGAAAGCGCGTGCATTACATGAAGTTTGCGAAAGGTGGGTTTGTCTCTCGCTCGCTGTCTCACTCGCTCGCTGTCGGCACACCTGTGGCGGAGATGTATTCAATAGAGGATTTGCTGCTTTTTTTTTTGCGTGTTGCCCGTTGACTTCCTGTTGTGCTGACTGTGTCCGTGAAGGAGACTTTGCAGTGGGCTTAGCTTCGATTTCCACTTCAGCGAGGCAGGCGTGGTCCCTGGTGGGGGTGGGCAGGGGGCGTTGAGGATTCTTGCCTGAACCGCCGAATGCACACGCGTACAACACGCACAACACGTACGCATATGTACACATATACATTCTGACACATACGTTCGTGCGCGGACGAGTACATTCACGTCTACGTTCATACGCGTATACATTCATTCGCAAATATATTATTATACGTATGCATTCATACATTTTAAAGGTACGTAAGCATGCTCCTGCTTTGTCCCATATGAAGCCAAACATTCACTTGTTAAATTTGTCAACATCCCAGCCCTTGAAACTCAGATCCTTTCATCAATGAACACAGGATATTATCACGATTTAAAAGTGTAAGGGTAAGAAATTAATAAAGGCGTTTAATGCATATGACCACTGAGTGACGGGAAGATGAAATCGCGACAATTTCCAAGTATACAACTTATAAACATTTTACCGCTAACAAATATAAACTACTTTAGGGTATAAAAGGGGCAAAGGGGTGCTCAGGGCAGGGGAACACGGCAGAGAAGAGAGCGACACTGCGGCACAGCCAGGGATGAAGCAACCGGGCCAAGCACCACCACCAACAACAGTTAATACAACAACTACATCAACAATTACTACAACAACAACTACAATTACTAAAACAACAACAATTACTACAACAACAACAATAAGGAGCCCGGGAATGCACAAACACAACTGGGCACTGTGTGCAGCTCAAAACACGACCGCAGTGAAATACGCCTGCTGTTAATGTGCTAATGACAGCTGCTGTTGCATAATAGCACGATTCTATAGTTTTTGTTCAATTAACATTTGCTACGAATGAATCTAATTATGTTAATGTTTTGAAGTCATGTTCCTTAAATAGGAATTTTCCAAACATTGCAATATAAGTCCCTCCTGAAAGAGAATCTTGGGACTCTGAAAAGTAAGGCTTTCATGGATAGGTAAATAAATAATTGTAAGTTATTTTGTATAGCTGTGTAAATATGTAATTCAAACCTATAACATGCCGCAGAGTTTTCATCGAGGGAAAATTGCTCGTAGGCGTGTGGAACCACAGACAAGCAGGAAGGCCGCCACGCGATGAGCCGGCGTCAACAATCGCCCAAGCTCTGCGGTCCTGTATATATTAAGGTGTGATCAGCCAATTAATGTTTACATGCTAGAGGAAACCGGAGCAATTGGTATATGTCATGATTTGCAATGTCTTGTATATATAATTGTCATGCTTGAGTGGCAGTGTAGCACATCGATAACACTTGTGCCTCGCACAGCCAGCAACTAGGTCGCCTTTCCATGTGGAGGTTGTGTGTACTCCCTCTGTCCTGCATGGGTTTCCTCCAAGTTCTCTGGTTTCCTCCCGTTGCTTACAAAATATAAAATCGTCCAATGTAATTGGTGTTGACAAAAACATCCAATGCGAATTTCACTGCACGTTACTCAATTGAGATTGCACATAGTAACATCCCGACCCCTACTGCTGGCAGGAGGGCTCTCCTGAAACAGTCTTGAGACTCGACGAGGCTTTTCCTTGGTAAACGAGCGTGATAATGTACGAGGTTGCCAATATATGAAGAGACAATCTTCTGCCCCGCGACAATTTGTAAACACGTAACGCCTTGACATTTTGAAGTCCGCGAATATGCAATGGATTTGTATTCTGTGCCGTAATCTTTCCAACTACTATGTGGGTGGAGGAGCAGGGAGGGGGGAATTCGCCACCCATGGACAGAATTAAATTTGGCTGAATAAGCTCTTATCAGCCCTGCGCCCACCACTGCCGCCACTACCGCCAAACGCCCTGGCTTGTCTCTCCCATCACCCTCCCCCTCCAGAATCGCTGAAGTCATCCTATGTAAAGGATCGTTTCCTTGACCTGTCATGACTTTTGTAAATCCACATTGGAGTTTCCCACTCCAAAGCGCTATAAAAAGGGCCGGGCGTCAGCCTCTTGGCAGCGGTGGAGGCGGCCCGCTTCAGAAATGGCCGGGGGGGGGGGGTGGGGGTGGAGGTTTGGGACAAGAGAAACGATCGTTGGCCTGCCATGCTTGGTGATGACGGAATATGTATATTTGTGGTATGTGAGGTGGTTACCGGTAGTGCAACGGTTAGCTCGCTGCGCTACGAACCCGCGGACCGGAGTTGCATTGCCGTTCAAGGCCAACACCAGTGACGATTAGCTAAAACGGGCCTGGGCCTCCCCTAGGTCGACTCGGCCTCAACTGAATACTTTGTGTGGTGTCTAAACATTTCCACTAGGGATACAAAGGCGGCCGGGTGTGGTGCTAGCCACCCACCCACCTCATGTGCCGTGCCGGCCTTCATTGGTGCTTGCGAACAGCACTTGCCCCAACAGCTTATGAAGGCTATATGGGGGATCTTTGTCTTACGTGAGGTGCTCACTAACAGCACTTGCGTAAAAACTCTGTTAAGGCCACCAGAGTAGCTTTGTGTTGTGTATGTGGCGTGTATGGGCAAAGTGCTGGTGTAGAGATTAGCGCACTGCTACAAACACGAGTTCGATTCCCGGCCATATCTGACATTAATAGTAATAATGTGAGTCCATACTGGGCCTCTTGTCAGCCAAGACAGCCGTAAATGAATACCTGGTACGATGTGTAACATCAGCACTGGCCAGGCATGGTGCTGTTGCCACAGCAACCTCCCTTTCGCCGTGTCAACCTTAATAGGTGCTCGCTGACCGCACTTGCATCAACTGTCTGTTAAAGGCTTTATGTGGCGAGGGAGGCAGGTGGCAGGAGCCAGGAAAGAGCCGCAGTGGTTTTGGATTGGGGGCAGAAGTCTGATTGTAGTATCGCTACGATCAGGGTGGCCTGGGTTGGGCAGGCATGTGGTCGTGTAGTACATTTACAAACTCGCCTATAAAAGCATGCGTAGTGACTTTAGAAAGTGAACCGCATGGCGCTCCCTCCCTCCGGTACTCGCCCCACCGCTCCTCCCTCCCCCACCACCTCCGCTCCAACCGCTCCCAGTCGCTGAGCGCTGACAATGGGAGTGGCGCCGAAAGTTACTAATTCTGGGAAGCGGCAGAGACGGCGGTGGGTGTGTTGTGCTTGGCGGCGCTTTCCTCGGGTAGCTCTCCTCCCCTCGTCCCCCCCCCTCCCACGGGGCCACTGGCGCGACACTCAAATCCCAGCGGGGGGGGGACCGCTATACAGAAACAATTAATTAACAAATTACGAGCGTGTGCCATCGCTGTCACCGAATCGTCCCATGGGTATTTTTTTTGCTGAAGTGACCTTTCTGATATTAAAACCAGGTAAGAGTCCACTGAGCAGTATGGCTTAATGCAGTGAATGGCTCATTTAGCAAATTAGAGGCCTCATTTACTGAAAAGTCAGTGGGGCTTGGGGAGTACAAATTTATAGAAGGGATGCTGGTTCTCAGTACTAACGAGTGTCAGCCAATTTGTACTTAATTTTTATTTCGTGACTTGCTTAGATTCCCTATACTTTGCACTCCTGTTGGGGTTTTCATTGTTTGTTGTTTTAACTTTTTGACCCACCCCTATTGGACACGTGAAAAAGAGCTTCAAAGCTCACCAGATTTTTCCGGTCTAAATAAATATTCTGATTCGGACTAATGAGTGGCGGCGAAAGGAGGGTACATTCCCGAGGATAGACGTCCACCGTGGAGATGGAACGTTGAAATCTGTTCTTGTAGGAGCTACATGGTTATTGCAACGCTTGAGTGTAAGGCTCGTCGACAACTTGGGGAGGGAGGCCCAAATCCAGCAGTGCATTAGCGGTGGCACTTCCCATGGTGCAGTTTTGTGGCAACATTGTTTTGCCTGTTATTGTAAATGGATGACTTTGAATGTATGGTTTGTTTGATACACAAAACTGCTCACGTGTCAATTGAAAATGTGTTCATTCACCAACCTTTTCCAAATGGCCTCATTTTCGCAGGGCACCACAGTGTAAAGTGCAATCTCCAACGATGAGACGAAAGTCAGTCTCGCCACTGCCACGAACCTACATCATCCACCAACCCTTGCCTCCAAAGCAATGGAACGCACACTTTCTGTTTAACATTGTTGCCGTAGTGTAAAAACAATTTGTTTTATTGTTAATCAGCTATTTCTAAATAATATTTGACTAACTGTACCAGATTCTAACCATTTTATGTAAACATAAATTCCAGCCATCCTGAGTCCACCAATGGGTAAAGGCCTTCCCTGACCATGGGGGGGGTTTGACTTAACTTTATCATGCTAGCCCCAGTGCAGGTTGGTTGAAGAGGTAGATTGCAGGGACGGTTCTCATATAATTCAGCACTGATGTTGGTTAGCCATGTCTAGGAGTCAAACTCAGTTCACAGGGTCGTAGTGAAGTGAGAAAATGCCTGTTCCACCGCCTCCACCCTAGCCCTTTTACCACCTGTAAAATTACCTTCAGATCTCACAACCAGTCGGCTCTGGCTTGCAGCGTGGCTGATAAGACACTTCAAAGTTTGAATATCAAACTAAGGGCAATTCCCTTCACCCCCCTCTCTGGCACCGCCTCCTGTGATGTCCCATTACACCCATTAAAAACCCGAGGCTCTTGTTTGCAGAGCCGGGGCTATGGTTGGTTGCTGATTAAACCAAAAGCTAGTTCAGTGTTTTAATTAATCCAGAGCTAATTCAAACAGACCCTATAATTTGGTGTCCTGTGTGTGCACAGTATACACCCTTTGAAAGGCTTAGCACTTTAGGATAAGTTATATTCTAAAAGAAACATTACCATTACGTAATGTTTGTATTTTGTGATGGCCAATGTGATTTGAGCCAGATTTAAATCTTACTAAAATGGCCGAAAACGAAATCACCTGGAGAGACGCACTGCCCGGTCTGTCTTCTGCAGGGTTGGTGATGAAGACATCGCCACGTGTTTTTTTTGTCAAAACTGTTATGGTGCATACAATGGTAAAGGCATAGCTTTCCCACCAGTTTTAATGATTCAGGTACTTTATTCATTGCCAGGTGAGAGCCATTTTGACGTGTTGGTGCGGTGGTCATTCGCGCGCTGCATTACAAACCCGGTGACCGGCCTGGTGAAGTATGGTCAAACACTCTCCATCACTCGAATGGTGTGAGGGAGGTCTTTGTCCAGCAGTGGATTATTAGAGGGCTGTAAAAAGAAAACCAAGAGAGCCCTTTAATAAAAGTGTTTTTTTTGTACAAGAGAAACATTTCAGTATATTAAATATTTATTTTTATCCATGAAAAACATCACTCAATCTTTAGACCCACATGTATACCCAGATGTCGGTTATTGTGCCACCGCCAGTGAGGCTAGCTTTGTGTTGTATTGAGACATAGCTGCATTGTAATGTGTTAAAATACGACTCTATATTGCAACAAGGTTTGTTAAGCTAGGCTTGTTTTTGTGCATTACCGGTAATCACGTGAAATAAACGTTTTTTTTATTATAATTACCTGTTTGCTGCGCATAGATAAATGTCTCGAGCAACATGTGTAAAATGTTCATCTTAACTGAGACTCGGCAGGAGCTGCCACAGTGGTGTCACGGTCAGCACACTGGACTGACTTCTCCTGGTGCGGCAGTAGAAACGATGGTGACAGTTTCTTAAATCCTTCCCAGTGCCTCGGTCCACCCAGCAGTATAAGCGGGTGCACCACAGTTAGTCGGTTGGTAGGTTGCGTGTGGTGGGGAAAAGTGTGGGCATAACACCTTTCAAGATGTCTGGACAGCGTGGAAGAATAGGCCAAATACTTCCTGGAGGGACCTCTCTAGAGCTCCCTCTGGTGAAGGCCCTTCTGCCAGCAGTGGCGTGAGTAAGGTATTACAGGACTACACCTTAACCTTCGAATATTTACCCACAAAGTGGTCAACGACAGACAAAGAAGTTCACAACCCCATGACTTACATCTCCTGGCCACTTGGTTGCGCACAAGTTGGGTTACGGGAGTTTCCCAAATCTCTACGTGATCCACCAACCCTCCCTTCTGCAGTGCTGTATCATGGACGTTTGCCACCACCGCTACACCCGCATGACTCGGCATTCACCTCCCTTTCCCCCACCACCGCCCCGCACGCCCCCCATTCATTTTGCCAGGCAAGGACCTGTCCACGCGCAGCGCTGACGACCTGGCATGCGTCTTCGGAAAGCGAGCGAAGAAATCCCACGGGGAGACGGAGCGGGACGCCCCGGCCTCTGTGCAGGAGGTGAGGCTAACCCCACGTTAACCCTTCTCCTCCTTCCGCTGCTGCTGGTGGAGGAGGAGGTGGCAGGAGGAGCGACTGACAGCGATTTTCATTCCGTTTCCACTCTGAAGCGGGTTGCCTGTGCTATTTAGCGCGGCGGACATCGACTGAATGAATGATTGAGTGGATAAATGACTAAATGAGTCCTGCGGTTGCAGCGCTTGAGCTGGTGCGGCCAATCTATGTCTCTGCCGCTCTTACTCTGTATGTTCCTCGTCACGGTACATGGGCGGGTGGGCAGTCGCGTACGTGAATTTTTGTTGTGCGCTCTGCGTTAGCCGTGGCTTTTCAGCGGTGGCTTGCGAGGGGGACTCTCGGTCCTCGGGGCTGTTGTGTTGCCACTACCTCCCGCCAGTGTTAGAACGGAACGGTGCACGCTGGTCAAGCCTCGGGGAGCCCTGACAGGCATGCGCGTGTACGTGCGCGTCTCCTTTAGTGAAACATGACCGATGGAGTAATGTGATTGTCGCGGTTTAATTGGACGAGCGCGGCGGTGGCCCCAGGAGACTGGGAGAGGGTTAAACCGCGACGGGTGACGGCACATGTCGCTTGCAAGGAAAATCCTATTAATTTGCATAATTGTGCCGAGCATTCCTACACACGGCCCTCGTTAACGTGGGCGGATCGGGGCCGCGTTCACGGGGATTAAAACACGCGGCGGTCACGTTGCTCGTATTCGGAACTAATGACATCGCCTGGCGACCTTGTGGTTCGTTGGCCCGTGCGTGTGTGTGTGAGGTCAGAAAGGCCTGTGTCAGGTTACTACGGAGGTGGCTGAACAGCTCAGGAGTGTCGGAGACACTGAGCCAGTAATCATCACTTGAGGTCCTTGGTTCAAGGCTTAGGTCTGGGTGTCCCTCTTGGTCTCTCATCGTCATCACCAACATCAGGCATTATCTATCCATTGTTGGACAGAGTCCTCCCCAAGCTGTTGCGCCAGCTCTCACGGTCTCGCGATGCAGCAATCCCTTCACTTCCTGCACACGAGCTAATTCCGTTGCCCCTTCTCTGCGGCGGTGACCATCCTCTCAGGGGTGTTTCCTACCTTGGCTTGAACTCTGGTCGTTAGTCCTTCAAAACCACATGTCCTGCCAGTGCTTTCAGGGGCATCATAATGGCCATGTCGGAGGCACTGAACTGGCAACGCTGTGAGGCCTGGGTTTGAATCCAACTTCCCACCTTGTGTGATAAAACCGGGTTCTCAAGTGTAGTGAATATATGGTCTCGGCCCAATCACAAATGACTGGGAAAAAGAAAGTCATTCTCTAAAAAAATTAATGGATTCATTCCTGCCTTACCTTGATGGATTATTATATTTGTGTTTGTATGGCGTGGTTGAAAACAATGAACTACGAGTTAAAATAGAATGTAGTAGTTCTCTTTAGTGTTTGGGTAGAAATGGCCTTAGTAAAGGACAGATCTTCATCACTCGCGCAACAACTTATCGGGGTACCATATAAAAGGCTTGCCTTTCTGAAACCAACTCCTAACCTCGCGAGCATCCTTGTCTAAACTCGTAAGCGTACCAATACTGGCGCATCGTGGGGGACGTATCCTGGTGAAAGAATTTATGTAGGCACCCTCTGTCTTCATAGTCGGCATCTAGGCCTCTCTCCCTTCTATGGGCCCTGGTGCAGATGCACCTCCTGCTTACTCAGTAGTTATGCCACTGCTTTAACTGAAACTCATAATCGCTAACAGTAAACCCTAACCATTAACCAGGTATACTCCCTCCTAACCCTCAACCCCAATCCCGGGGTTGATGGTTTCTTTGTACGTTGGAACCACCAATCAATCAATCTTTGTTTTACGGTGCAATATCACCCTCGATAAGGTGAGCATCGGTGCACGTCGCCGCAGACCGGGAGCGGTGCAGGGGCAACGTTGTGCGAGAGCGGTGCCGTCCCACCTTTGGGGTCGCGTTTTTTTTTTGCCGTCACTCGTCCAAACCTCCCTGCCGCCTGCCCACCCCCAGCCGCTGCCAAGGCCCCCACCCCCAAGCTCTCCTTGGTGACTTCCTATGGCAGAATGACAGGGCATCGTGACTGGGCCTGGCCCACCCAACTCGTGCTGGGCCACGACCCGGCGGCTTTGCTTCTGCGTGCCTTAAGCAGCGTGCTTGTTTGCATTTTCGAGCAGACTGTGTACGTTTCATTCCCGTTTGCCAAGTTGGAGAGAGAGCGATGGGCGAAGTTAAAATCTGATCTGCGGTCGACGTGGCACGTAGTTATACATTGTCCATACATTATTCATAATCGTCATTCTACATCATCCTACAAACTCATCATTGATCTATATCCATTGTCATTTTCCGTGCTCGTCCATTCATTATCATCATCCGTAATCATCAATGACCAATCGCTCATGAATTATTCATGCATCGATCCTTTGTTGATACAAGCATTGAATCATGTGCATGTGAATCAATTATTCATGATGTAAGAAAACTACATACAGATTTAATGATAATGCTTCATTTTGGCTCCTGGAGCAGAAAGAAAGCGGGACAGAGCAACCAAGAATCTGTACAAAACACGATGGCAAAAATACAAAAACAAAACTTGATTCTGGATCGTCCTGGTCAGAGACAACTTGATCATCATCTTTGTCATAGGAATGTGGAATTTCCACCTCTGACTTAGCGCCACCAACAGAGATGTCCCCTACCCATCACCACTCATTGCCTTGGTTTTCTAAATTCCTTTCGTTGACTAGTAGCATTTTTGTATATTTACATGTCAATATGTAACTAGGCGTGTGTATTATAAATTGTTGTGCTCTTTTTAAAATAGGATCATCCATTCCCAACACGGATAACAAAGTTATTATGTATACAGAACCTACAGGTCAATGTTTAGGCTGTGGTTTGTAGGCATTTGTTGATGTTGCCAAAAAGCCAGTGTGGATGTGTTTAATTACCACTGTATAATATTTATTATTTCATCAAGTTTCATACCTTGCTGAGAGTTTTTAGGGTTTTTGTAGGGTTGGGCATTTCACCGTTTAATGAGGGTGCGGGTTTATAATCCCTATCACGTATTGGCATCTTGGATTAAGTAGATAATTGTTTATAGCCCTGCCATGTGCTCTCTAATCAAAAGTGCAGTGTTTAAAATGTACCCGCTTGTAACCAACGGCAACAGTGTGTAGAGTGCGTTTCATCTGGGGATGCATTACAGTCGTAAAATACTCAAAGTAATTATGCAGGGGAGGGTGGCACAGGGGTTAGTCCTGCCCGGTGCCTGAGTTCGAATCCTGGGCCGTGGTTACTATCTTCTCATTCTTCCTGTCGCTGATGCTGATATAGAGAAACGATTATATATTTTTTACATTGAGACGGCGAAGCTAGATTATTGCATCAGGAGTAGTGCAGTGGTGCGTCGCTGTGGTGATGATTTCTTTGTATTGGGCACCATGGTGGTGAGATGTTATCTGTCTCGACTAGTATGTAGGAGGTTGTGGGTTCGATCCTGACCCTGATGCCTGTAGATTTGCAGTTTGCATGTCTCTTTCCCCATGGTCATGTGGATTTTTCTCTGGGACCTCCGGGTTTTCCCTCCAACTTTAGAATCATGCTTTTTAGAGTGTTTGGCTGCTACTATAAATTTCCACATGCTAAACCATTTCGTTGAGCTATCATTTGTGGCCAGGTCGCTTCTGACAAAGAGCTGTATAGCGCAGTGGGCCTAAAAAATTGCTTAGTTTAGTATTTGTGAATCAGACATTGAGTCGTTATATATTCCAAGGTATGTTCCTGATGACCACAAGGCCATCTATATACCCTACCTTTAATTAAAATACATTACAACCCCTTGTCAATTCACTGCTGGATGAAAGGCCTCCCCGTGCCGTGTCAGTTGTGGATGTTGTTTAACCATGCTGCACCACGCTGGTCAACAGTGTGGGATGATGAAGTGGATGGAGGGGGGGGGTCAGAACCAGTTCGGATATCACTCCGCCACTGATAATGTTTGTGCCCGGGATTCGAACTCTGGTCCACCGGGTTCATAGCACAGTCCGTTAACTACTGTTCCACCACTCCCCCCACCTACCTGTGTGTATCTGTCTATATATCTTAACCCCGATTAGTACTCTGCCTGACCTCCCTGAGTAAACGATCGTCACAAAGGTGCCATGCTTGAGCAATCTTGCCTTGCAAGGTGCCATGCTTGAGCAATCTTGCATTTGTCCATTTTTTGTGACCCTCGTGTTTGCTGCGTTTATGGGGAGGCCTGTTTTTAGGAGCTTGTGTGTGCGTGATGATGGTGGCGAATCCTGTTATCTCTCACTTGGCATCACTGCCACCGCTGTTAAATTCTCTGTTAAATTCTCTCCACGTGGTCTCCACTGCAGTTCCGGACCCAGCAGTATAGCTTCAAATCCATTTGTTGTTGTTTGTGCAAATCCTACTGCTTGTTTTGGATGTATCGCAATGTGGGGGGGAGCTCCACGTCTACATCATAATCATCAGCAGCCATGATCAATCCACTGCTAGATCAAGGACCCACCCTGCCGTCGCAACCTCTCACAGTTCTGTGATGAAGCAATCCACCTCGCCACATAAAACACGAGGTGTGATATCGTTCCGACATTACGGTGGATATCCTCTCGGATGCATTTTCCCCTCTGGCTGCCACCTTGCCATGAGTCTCATTAGCCAATCATCATCATCCCTTCTAGCGACGACGTGTTCTGCCTAAGGCCACCGACTTTTCATGATTGCCAAAACGCGACGAGGTTTTCTTTGGGACCTCAGAGAGCAGTGCACAATCCCCCCGTGTTGGAAAACAACTACATAGAAATTAATTGTAATCGATGCGTCGCTACGTGTCTTGCGGTTAGTGTTGGCCTGCACCGTACGAGTCCGTCGTGCGTCTGCGTGCCCCCTTGTGACCTCAGTCGTGACCCAGGGACTCTGCGTGTTTGCGGGATAACACGATTCTATCTCCACTCCACAACCG